CCCTGTTCTGTCTACGTTGTCCTTTGTTATCGTATTTATATTTCCCATTACTATTATTTCCATTACTTGTTTTTTCCTCCATTCTGTCATGATTTTTCTCATTTCTGCTATCATTCCTTTTCTCTCCTGACCTAATTGTAGTGGTATATATACCTATATCACTCCTATTTTTCACCTCTCTTTGAAGATCAGTTCCATGGCCAAGATTCTTTCTTGCCATTTTGTTATTTTCCCTATGTGTTTGGTCCAGTCTCTTTGAACAATTAACTCCACTCCTCCAGATTGTTTTTCCATAAGTCTTGTATTTTTTGTCTCCCATTGTTTTCCTATTAGTTGCTTTTTTTAATTTTGTATCAGATATTCCTATTATTTTTATATTATTTTTGTAATAGTGATGTTGTAATTGCTGTTTTTTAAACTCTTCATTCAAGCCATTCAAGTTTATTGTCGTAATTTTAATGTTCTGTATCAGTTCTTTTTTCTTTGTACATGTTGATATTTCTTGGGTTATTATATTTATTCTTATGGTATGCTATCATACTTGTTTGGATTTGTTATTAGGTATCGTGTTTCCTATTGCCTTTCATGTTGTTGTTTCTTCTTGCTAGGTGATAGCTGACCATTTTCCAAAAGTTTGCTTAGCATCTTTCCCATATGTTCTATTTGCCTTTCTAGCTTGTCTTGTTTTTCTGCCTCCTCCTTGTTGATTGCCTTGTATGTTGCCAGAGGGGTTTCTTCCTCTCCCATAATCACTTCTTTCACATCTTGATATTGCATTTGTTGCTTATCTGGACTCTTATTATTGATTTGTTGATTCTCCTGCTCTTCCTGCAGCTCATTTTATCAATTTCATGATACATTGATTTTTGTTTCCATGTTTTTAATTATTTCTTCTAACTTGTCCAGTCTTTCTCTTATCTCTTCTTGTTCTCCTCTTCTTTCTTTGTTGTAGACTGATCTCGATCTGCTTCTCTTTCTCAGAATTTCTGCATAAAATATAGGAGCTTCCTTTTCTGGTCCTTTCCTGAATCTTGACTGAATTGATGCAAACCTTGCTTAAGCTAGTGCTTTGTCTCTTTGCACTCTTACCTCCTCACACTGGAAGGTGATGTGTCCATGCTGTCCACACTTGTAACACAGTTTTTCAAATTGATCCTCAAAATTGATAATCATCCTATCCAATTTAAAGGTTTGGGTTTTGGCTGCTTTTAATTGGTTATCTGTTTCAAATGCCACATATGCAAATCTTTCCCTAAAGTATCTGCCTGTTCTTGGAATATATAGGGTTTTCCATTTGTTTTTCTTGCTATTTCTTCTAGATCGTAAGCTATGGTGCCTGCTGGCAAACCTGCAAATATCAGTACATATTTTAATTTTTTTTCTAGTTCCTCTTTCTCTTCGTACATGATCCTTGAATCCTTAATATCAAGACCACTGTATTGCCCACATGATTTAGCTATTTACTAACTATTTCACTACAAGGGAGTAGGTTCATTAAGCTATTATTGTGTGGTATTAACTATCTTAGACTTTATAAATCTAAACTCTCTAGATGTAATCATCGGAAATGAAAAAGTTTTTTTCTTCCAAGACTAGACATCAAAGACTTTACCTTGAAAGATCTCAGCCAGCCTATATTCAGACTGTCACCCCGAATGACCCTGTGGTCCTAAGAGGTAAAAAAATTTTATTTTTTTAGAAAAAAAGAGAGGAATAATAAGAGTAATTGAAAAGTTTGTTCTGGTAAATAAAAACACTTCAGTATCAACTTCAATCCATTGGGATAAATCCTTTACCACCACCTGCAGCTGGGCAAACCATTTAATTTCCACTATTCTATTGCTGACCAAGAACGTTCAAGGTACTTATAACAAGTCTTATACCTATAAGGAATTATTGCTTGAAACAAGACTTA